TGGACACCAATTTGCATGGGACGAAACTTGCATTGTTGGCTCTTGCCCATACGAGAAGGGTCGTGAGTTTTTAGAAGCCATCAATTCCGACGACTCTTGCATCAACAGGCACGTTGAGTTGGATTCAATGTACACCAATCTTAAAAAGCCTGGAGAAAGGACCATCCACTTAAACATGCTATTGACCACGGCTTACACAGCATTATCGATTTGTTGACACGTTTAAAAATGTCAACTGCTCTTCACACTATTTCCTCGCGTCCGAAGACGACCTAGTGTGCTAGTGTCGAAATATTACAAATAAAGTTTGTTCCTGTTTCCCGAAGAATTTCTTCTATCGAATTATATTTCTCGGGATGCCTATTTTCAAATTTATAAAAAAATAATACTTTAATTTCTCTTGGTTGGAAAACAGATCTTTAATGTAAATAAAAATATATTCACCAAACACAGTTATTACCTGGAATGATTACTAGAATTAGCGCTCCTCACATTGGCATGCTACTTCTAGCAACATTATCCTAGCTCTCGTAGACTACACTTTTGGAAAAGCTGACACAATTTTGTTGAATAGATGTAAGGGGAGAGGGGAGGGGGTAAAAACCCCGGCAAGCATTGATCTGCTCCGAGCTTAAAATATCTAATTTACTCGGAATAGCAAAAATCCTGGTTTCAACTCCGAGTTGAGAGCGAGGGATCACGATTCCAGCGCGGACCCTAATCAGTGTCATTTCTGACCAATTATTAGCGTCAATTATAGTACCAGCACTACTATCACTCAGCTACACTGCTAATTAGCAGCAGTATAAGCAGAACTAGCAGTACCAGCCTTGGATTCCTTTAGTCTGACTTGATATTTACTGTAGGAAGTGTAGAACTATCAACGCAAAAGGGTAGGCGGTTTTTCTGGCCTGATTTGGGAAAGGCGGCCTACGCCTGATTCCTGCTCTGTCATCTCGAATCTGCCTCGTCGCCAGTTCAAGCGGGGGATGGTTTAGAGTGTGATCGATGGCTGCTCGCCCACCTGACTACAGTCACCATCCCTGCTCTTGGACATAATCGAAATCGATGTCGAAAAATCACCTAGACAAGACTACAAGGTGCATTATTTACTCCTATTAACTCCCCCTAAAAGAAACTTACTTTGTTTTGGAATGTTTCACAAAACCTCTGAAGCAAACCCCCATTTCTTTATGCTTTTGCCTAGAAAACAGGAGCAATATCTTTGGAGGATCCCTGGGAGGTATGTTCTGAAGGCCGGTCATTTTTGCTGCTTTCAAACTGATCCTTTGATACGCGCTTTTTATAGTCGATATGCAATGACTGTACTCCGAAAGTGGTCATCCCAAACTTTACTCCCCTTGTCTATAATAGTTTTAAACTAACTAAGCTTTGCCATGTATAGTAAAACTGACCAATTTGGTATGAAACTACCAAGCACGATCGTCTTATGAGGAAAGCGAAAGTTTCATTGGTAGCGGCAGATTTTTACACGATAATTATATGCCTACTCAATGAATTTCAGTAGGCGTAGTTTTTATTTGCTCAGTCGTTTTCGACTTGACTCAGTGCAGTAGTCCTATTGATTTGGAATCTGAGTAGCCTGGCAATGCTGCTACGAAATCCTCACCTGCACCACGTTATCGCGCAATTGCAGGTTTTCTCTTGGATTTCCTTTCCTATTGTCTTAACCATATAATCGCTTCTATAAAAGTACCATAACCTTCGATTTAACATAAGACAACCTCATTTGCCATTCGTTACCTTTATATAATCGCGATTAGCCTTCTGCCTAAGATACATCGCTAATGATCGCACGAAAATGTTTTTCATGCGGTTGCGGGTTAACAGGGGGGAGACACCTTTATGCAAGAAAATAGACAGAGGCATACATCATCTGGAGTATTGAAGTTC